GTGTGTGTGTGTGTGTGTGTGTGTGTGTGTGTGTGTGTGTGTGTGTGACTCACCCCTGCATTCCTCTTTCCCTTTTGGACATCAATTTATTTTTCTCTGCTTCACCTTTTTCTCCGCTCCAAGCACATTTTTTCGTCGGCAAAAACTGCCCTTTTCAAAGAACCCCAATTTAGTCCACCCTTAAATCCCATGTTGACACAAAAAACAAACAAAAACGAAAAACAAACTAACAATATTAAAATGTCGAATTAAAATGATCAATGTCAGTTAAAATGCTAAATTAAAAACAAAGTCAACAACTAAAGTTAAAAATGCTGAATTAAAACTAAAGTCAACAACTAAAGCTAGAATGCTAAATTAAAACCAAAGTCAGAATGTAAGCTTAAAGATCATAGACTCAAAAACAATGAATATTAGAAGTTTATCTCTAAAAAACTCTATTATTGTAATTTATCTACTAATCCACTGGGTGGCGTACTTCTGGCGATTTATAAAACTGATGCTGTACTTACTTCTCTAGGCCACCAGATGTCAGACTTTTGTAGTAGTAATGTAATTACACATTCGAAACACTAGATGATTACACTAGGAGTTTTTGTAATTATCAAGCAATTACTCCTCTTGGCCGCTAGACGGCAGAGTTTTTTTCTTTTCTTCTTCTACGATTTTCAAAAAAATAGTGTACAATTCCCACATCTTAACCTGACACAGCTAGACAACAATAAAAGACATGCATGCAGGTAGATGAGGGTCTATTGGCAAATTCAAGACAGACAGACAGATGACAGCAGACAGATCGAGGGAATTTCAACACAGACAAATCGAGGACAGTAAGGTGCAGTTAAATTCTACTGCTGACAGAGCTGGGTACTAACTAACCATTTCTTTAATTGAGCTTTAAATTAACTGTATGTTTGCAGTTCTCTAATAGTCACTGGGATGGAGTATGAAGGCAAATCACTGTCAAAATCCGAGAGCGCAAATGAGATCCACGCGCGCGCATATTTTACTTTGACGAGCGCTTTTACATCACTCCGCGAGCAAAAGTCGCTCACGAACCTTGAACCTGCTCGCTCGCGAAACTTTACCCTGCTCGCGAGCGAGTAGTTTTTCTTTTTGACAGTAAGTGGGCGGACCCAGTCACCATTGTATCTCTACATCTAACTGAACTACAGTTGCTAGTAGGTGGTATAAAGGTGGTTTGCGATCGGCCTATAATTACAGAAAGCGGGGGAGCCAGTACGAAGCATGGCCGACCACAAAGAGGTAACGTATATCTTCTAAAAGCTATTTATTTAGTGCGTGATTGGTGTAACATAGTTTATCATGTTCTTTGCTTTACAGTTAACTAAGATAATTTGAATATCTTACATTGGGTTACTACACGCCATCAGAAGACTGTGCAACGGCTATCTGCCTGCAACATGAAGCTAGCAAATCTGCGTAAAACTGACGTTAAATAGCTAGCTAGCTATTACGGTGTAGTTTACCTAATCTTAGCTAACCAGTGTGTGTTTATGTTGTGATTGTAAAAGTCTACTATATTTTGTTTATATCTGTATAACAGGCAGAGTTACAAAATGCTGCCAGGCGTGTTGTAGACTTGTTAAGAAGTGCCTTGGCTAAAGAAGATGAGCCATCTTCTCAAAACCGCAAGTATGTTGTGAAACTTGTGTGAGATGACATAGCAGACAGCATGTTCCATTTCCATAAGCTATATAGATTACTTCTGTACAGCTGTTTAAAACAATACAAGATGACATAAACATGGCGGGCGGAGGCACTTTTATGTTTCAATGACACCTTTATAGTTCATATTATTTGCAGGCCTGGGAACTATGTTGTTAATGTATAAATCAATATGATCTAGATAGACTTACTATCTTCAATGTATTGCTCAGTATATTTAGCTCCTAGGGTCTTATAGACAAGTTTTGAATTATTTTCACAGATGAAGTACAGGTTCAGGGCAGTAGGCAACAGACAGCCTGCTACACAGGGACAGCCGCTGTCTGCCCTTGGCAGTAGGAAGCAGGCTGGAACAAGGCAGCGTCAGGTAGCCCAGGGGTGGCAGCAGAGGACCCCTGGCTGTCCTACAGCAGGAAATACAGTGGAGCACAATATGGCCAGGTTTGGAACTGCTGTAGGAAATTAAGTTTGTTCTTATGATCAGTGTGAGGGTACATCGTTGTCATCCTCAACTGAGGGGTCTTTGCGTTAACTTCTCAATCAATTATAATTCAGGGTCTTGTTAAATTGGAACATTAGCTCTCGAGAATTTTTAGAATTGATATATTATACAACAGCTTCTTCGTGCCTTTTTAATCTTACACATTTCCTTTCAACTCCTCAGGGCTTTCCCTGGGCTGTTCAAATCTGGAAAAAGCTATACGCCATCTCCCAAAAGAAGGGCTGTCAGGTCAACGTCAATCCAGTTTTTTCTGCTGAATAAATGCACAGGTCATACACCGAAGTCCTCTGATGAGATGCTCCTTCTTCGGGCTGGACTTGGCAGGAGGACTATAGGTATTCCGGAAACTGCTGACCACTCCCAGGTAAAATCAAGGGGTAGAGATGTGCCCCTTTAAAAAACTTCATTTGCCAATCCAATGAAATAGTACCTGTAACAAGTCTACCTGAACAGAGAGGACATGGGGGAGGGTTACAGTAGTAACTGCACACTTGTTTTCCCCTTTCCACATAGATATCAATGATACTGATGGAGACATATTCCAAAATGGTACCACTGGAAGGGGCCTGGATGCTCCATAAGGCTGCTGGTAAGACGGAATGTTCTTACTAAATTCAACTGTGTGGTGTAATTTGTCAGCAGTTGAATAACATGTAATATCATTCTACTACTCTTATAATGGCTGGTTTACATGTTCTCATTACAATAACTAAAAACACTTTTTGTCTGTACACAATTCTACACGCTATCACATAGGAGGATCAGGCCAGCGGAAACTGAGTGTTTTGGCACCTGAGGCAGAAGGATACACAGGGGCCTACCTTACCAAAGCTTTTGGGGGAAAGAGCTGTCTCTATATTATGCCTATCCAGGACACCTTGGACACCTCCCCCTTGCCCTACTCATCCAAGGAGTTTGAAAAAATGCCAAAAGCGCGATGTGCCAGTTGTCATCTGAACTTGCCTGTTCAGCTGCTGGCTTTGCATGCGATGGAATGTCAGCCGGAAAGTTGTTCTTCTTTTGAACCGGTAATGTTGTCACAGTTAACTATGCGGTGGGTCCTTATTGTCCTTATTCCCTGTATCCCTGTTTTGATCATCACTCTGTTTCAGAATTTGGACCATGACGATTGTGAGGAGTCTCCAGCTTTGAGCAATCATGGGAATGTAAGCTCGCTCATGCGTAGCTATTTGTATAAACTATTTTCATTGTCTGCGTGATCGATTGACAGCCTTTTGACATTTTATTATAGGCATCTCCAGGTGTGCTCCCTTGTATAACCTCTCACAAAATGGATGCTAAGGTAAAAAACTATGCATTGCTGGTCAGTGACATTATTTCAGATGGCAAAACATATTGCCTCTGGCCATTTCACTTAAAAATGTACTCTGCTTTCTGGTTTTATAAAGGTGGCCTGTCCATTGTGCTCAGACTTTCCTGAGTATTTTGTTGAAGTACATGCCAGCACCTGTGGAGAAAGGTTTGTTACTATTATGCACATTTTTTTTCTCACTTATTTATTCTTGCATAGTTTGGACATTGTTAACCATAGTTTGGGATTCCACTGATAAAGGCATGTCCCCTTAAACTGTTGACTCCAGCACATTGCAAAGACCACACATCATCACTTTAGATGTGGAGGAAACGCATGCCAGTGAAGAAGAACTGAACGGGGGAGACGAAGCGTGTAACAGGTTCAGCTTAACATTTCTCATACTTTTTTAACTTGTCCCTCCAGGTCCTTATATTTTTGATTTCCATGTTTCCTTACTCTAAATACTATGTATATATATATATTTTTTTTTTCCCTTCAAGTCTTGCCAAAGCCATCAACACACTTAGTTGGCTGGCTCACATCCATTCCACTGCTGTCTAAATTGCTCTGAAAATGTGTTGCCTCATGGATTCCCAGAGTGGAGAACAGTGTTCCCCTGACACCCACCATGTCACGATCAGGCTTTGCCTTGTGTTCTGTGTGTGTCTTTCTGTAGCTCCTCACTCTACCTGTCGGCTACTCCCTCAGCACCAGTCTAACTCCCTTCACCTGCTCCTGATCACTAATCAAGCACTCCCTCATCAGCACAACTCTCCTCACCTGTTCTAGCCACTATTTAAACCCCTGCCTCTCAGTCACTCTCTGCCAGATCATTGTGTTCTACCCGCCCATTTGTCTTGTCCTGTTCCCGGTTTCCCCGTCTGCCTGCCTTGTCTAGTTCCTGCTGGATTTCCCCCCTCGTCTCTTGTCTTGTGCTTGGACTCCCTGTTGTGTATGGTAACTATTCCTATTTGTGTTAATAAACACCTGCTTCACGCTACTCAGCCTGCTCTGCGTTTGAGTCCTGCATCATGCCCCGTGACACACCAGGACTTGCAATCCATACCTGGAGAACAGGATATGGGTGTCAGGGTCCCTGGCAACAAATTTACAAGCAAAGTGGACAGACATCGAGCTGACATTTGGATCCACAAAATCACTGACCTCAACAGTGTCTAGATCCTTCTGACCGAACTTGTTCATGAAAACGCGAACCTTGAGTAAGTTGCAGATATTAACCTCCTCAACTGCCTTCACGAACAAGGACAGGATGAAGGTGAGGTCCTGCCACAACACATGGTACTTTGCCGTGTCCCCAGAGCTCTGTTTCTGAACAGTGGGCCTGGCTTTGTCTTTTGAAGAGATGCTGTTCAGCAACTTCTTACACGAATCGGAATGAGGACGGCGCTAGTAGCATTTTTGGCTAGTGAAAAAGAAGTGCCGGTGTTCCGGCCTTTCATGGGAATTCTTAGAGCTATACAGGGAAGGCTTTAAGTGTAGTAGACATTTGCTGTCACTCAATAACACAGCAGCTGTGACTGAATCCATTTGGAAATAATGTTGTCTGGCATCTGAAATGTTTGCAGTCCAGTGTGAATGGTGCATTAAGCCTGGGCAGGTGCATAAAAGTCATCTTCAGCAGTTTCCGTAGTGTAGTGGTTATCACGTTCGCCTAACATGCGGAGGCCAGCCGCATATACCTGTAGAAGACATTTTTGTGACCAGAAGCCCTTCCAACATGAGTTGGTTCGATTCCCACATTATCCAAACTATACCTCCAGTATTTAGTTCAAATGATTAGCTACAGAATGTGTCCATAATACAAAAATAATGATAGTTTATTTGTAATAGCATTCATGCATCAACACAAAGTGCTTCACATCTAAGAATCAAGATGGAATCAATTATTTTGAAGTAATTATGCAAATAAGATACTAATCTCCAAATATTATTCCAAGATGTGTAAGCGTACAGCTGAGCATATATAAATGTTTGAATAATTAATATTCTATGTATTACTACCCCTAAAGTAAAGACAGTCAGAGTGATGGTGATGCTTTCAAGATATTTTATTGAAGAAATACAACTGAATACTAAAATGTACTAAAACAAAACCCCCCTAAAACATCACGTATAAACCAAATGAACAGTAAATTAAATATACAGTATATACAGTAGATGGTGTATCCTTAAACAAGTGCTGAAACAATAAACATGATCTGATTTCAGGTTCTCAAATGTCCGTATCCAAACCGTATTTATGCTAGTGCTTTAAATATGTCTAACTAAATGATAGTATTTATTCTAATGTAATAATCATATTTATACTAGTTCTACTAGTGAGGTGAGTTGGTGGTCACTTCCTCTCTGCCATCCATCTTTCCCTCTCAGCCTCATAACAGTCAGACTGTGAGAAGTCTCTGTAGGTCTTCTCTGTCACCATGTCCTGGTCCTTGTAGAGGGAGAAGACTCTGGGGGGGCAGTAGATGTTCTTCCCTGACACCCCGGGGAAGCTGCTGTGCACATGAGGGCTGCTGGGGCCCTGCTTCAGAGGTTGGTGACAGAAGCTGCACCGCTGACTTGCTCTTCTTACCCTTGTATTTACCAAACTGCAGCACGTAGTCTCCCATCACCCCCTGTCGGTCTGACACATCACCTCCCTGCTGAAGGACCACAGTGAGACCGTTGGTCTTCACCTGATAATGTCTCTGAGCGGGAGACTTGTCCTGAAGCGATGGGTCTTTTTAATCCTCACGGCCTCATCAGAGGGGTCCTGCCACCGATGGCCCGATGGAGCCTTCCTGAAGGACACCGCCGTCCTTCCTGGGAAGAAGTTGATGGTCCTCTTCATTATCTCCTGTGCTCAGCCAAACACAACGTAGTTTATATACAGAGTGCCTCATGTTAACACTGATCAGCATTTATAATAACTAGTTAACAGCATTATATATCACACAGACAGACAGATATAGATAATAGACAAATAGATTTACCCATTTAAAATGGACACTGTTAATGCTGAAATAGAACGTTACATACATACAGCAAATAATCACAACGTCACATACGTAACCTAGATGTGCTAACGTTACGTTGGCTAACAACAGAGTTACAACATGACAATGCTAAACAACAAAACGTAAGCAAACTATTAAAACAGTTTAGCCACAAATACAACTGAGAAGCGTTCATTTAGTACTAGAAACAATGAGCCGTACTTACGTTTGATATGTCTGTTTGTCCGAAGATAGAGCCGTGATAAAACTCCGTGTAAAGGTTGTTTACTGTAGTCTGTGTGATGGGACGTCTGTCACTCAAAGGGGGAAACGGCGCCCCCACAATCACGCTTGTGGCCAGAAATATATGACACCCATAGTGATAAGAACTACCATAGAGAATGAATGGGAAAAGTTAAGAGATTTAAGGCTCACTATTTTCGGCCCCCAGGCGCGTGACAAGCTGAGATACTGTCCACTATACTAACGAGGACTGCGCTAGTAGCATTTTTGGCTAGTGAAAAAAAAGTGGCACTGTTCTGCCCTTTAAAGGGAATTCTTAGAGCTATACAGGAGAGGCTTTAAGTGTAGTAGATATTTGCTGTCAGTCAATTACTCAGCAGCTGTGACTCAATCCATTCGGAAATAATGTCTGGCATCTGAAATGTTTGCAGTCAAGTGTGAATTAATCACATTTTGGGGTCCTGCGAGCTGCCGGATTGGGCTTTGAATGCTTTAAAAAAAAAAAAAGTCTGTCATTTGAGTGTTGTAAAAAATGAAATAATGTTATTTTTGATAATAAAAAGACAAAACAATTCGCGCCCGATCTCGGAAGCTAAGCAGAGTCGGGCCTGGTTAGTACTTGTATGGAAGACCCCCTGGGAATACCAGGTGCTGTAAGTTTTTCCACTTCTCTCTCCATAAGGCAGAGGACACTGCTGATTCACTTGAGAAATATGTGAGAAAAAGGCAAGATTGAAGAAGAGATGCATACAAAGAGGTGGGTAACGGTAAGAAAGGGAAAAGAGAATCAATCAATAGAATATCAATATTTTCTTATTTTTGGAATGTTAATGAACTGGTTTAGGTTCGTTAAGATTTTGCAATTGACCTACTATTGTTCGTATTTGAGTCTTTTCAAGCCGGTTCCACCCAACAGGTCAGAGTTCTCTGTGAAGAAAAGTAAAGTGTAATTCACCATTCACCCTACTCTCTTGACCACTCAAAGAACTGCTTCATTTTTTAAAATCGGGGTCCCTTTGAACATAAAATGAGATTTCTTAAACATAAACGTGTCCTAAATGTACTAAAAATGACTGCACATTTTGACAGCTTTTAAAGGACTATGTGTTGGAGACAAAGTTGCTTACGGTCATGCCTCTCTGATTGTTTCTGACGCCAGAGTGCATTGTGAGTCCACAAGGCTGAGAGTGTCCCTCTGAGGAGGCTCACTTTTTTTTTGCTCCTACTTTCATACTCTTTCCTCGTTTTCTTACATGCCCTAGTTGGTAGTTTTTCGTTTGTTTGGTTGAGTGTTCATTTACAGTACCCCCGTCAGTGCTTCACTGTTCAGGGGGGAAGTGTTTAGTCCGCCTTTTCGGCGTGTTTTTCCTCCTTTTACAATTGTTTGTTTAAGGAGCGCTTTTCTTTTTTTTCAAGATGACTGACCTTCCGGCGCAACAGACCTGGCCTGGCTTATCGACGACCCCTAAGGACACCCCAACGATGAACGGAGAATACGAGAGGACGAGGACTGGCTTACCGACAACCCGAATGGATATCCCCACGATGAGCGGACTGATAGATACGACCCGGACCGGCCTGATGACGACCCATACGGAAATTAACACACGGAGGACTGACGGAGATGAGACCCGGCCTGGCCCAGTGACGGCCCAAGTGGATGTACCTGAGTTGAATGGCGTGGAGAGAGCAGCTACTAAAGCTGCGGAAAAACTGAGACAGGCACACACATTGAAGCAGCTTATGGTACACGTAGAGCTGGAGGGTGGAGAGAGTATGGGGGCAATGTGGCTGATAACGCACGTGCAGAAGCTGTGCGGGACGCTGATGGCGTGCCAGGTTCTCTCACCCAGAAAATTTGAACTGACAATGGCTGATATGAAGGGCAAAGAACAGGGTTCATACACATTTTGACTAATGGATTTCCATGACTTTTCCATGACTTTAAATCAAATTTCCATGACCAAACATTTTGTGAAATCTCGGTGTAATACATGAAAAAGTGAGAAAATGTCGTATTTAAACTAACAATGAGATTTCAAGCATACAGTATACCTTAAATGACACAAATGAATGAGACAATAGTTTGATTAAGAGAATAAACATTTATAAATATACTCTGGTTGACAGGTATTCACAACACTGACACATCAATAAGAGCTTTAGTAGGTAGCATCCAGCTACTACATTGCTTTCCCTT